TTTGCCTCATCATCCAGATTCAAGTCCGTCCATTTTCTGGCTGCTTCACATAATCTCTTGTAAAAGGCCGATGGATTTTCATCAGGGCCTTGTCTCAGTATAGTTTGGACACATTTTTTAGTTTTGGTACTCTGTGCCAGACCCCATATAATATTAACCATTGGTTCTGCTTCAGCTGGGCCTCCCCCCCCCCATTAGGACCCCACCCTGGATCTCTTCTCGTAGGCAAATAGTCCTCAGGTTCCACGTGGGCATTTCTTTTCTCTCCTTCTTCCCTGGCTTTTCAAATTACAGGTTTTTTTTTCCTCTGCCGTAAAGAAAGTATTTAACAATGCTTGCACATCTCCCCAGTTGGGATCGTGAGTCAGCATGATAGTCTTTAAAAGCCGGTGCATTCCTTCAGGATTTTCTCAGTATGAACTGACAGATTGTTTCCAGTTTAACAGGTCAGAGGTAGTGAATGGAACATGTACAAAAACAGCAATCCCTCTGGTCCCACTGCTTGTCTTAAAGGAGCCTGAATAACTGGCTGAGTGTGCCCTCTAGTTCCACTGGAAATAGGGCTGAAATCCTCACTGCTCAACTGTGAATTAGAATCAACTGGTGATTGTCCTGCACTACTTCTATATAAAGGTGGGGCTGTTGGGACTAACAATTGCACATCCTCCTGCTCTTCTCCTGCTACAATTTTTTTATCATCACGGCCCATGTCAGAACCACTCCTTTTTTTTTTCTTATCAGAAGCTGTATACATCACCAAGTCAGCTTCTAATTTACATTTTTCTGAATATCAGGACATATATCCACAACTACCTGAAAGGGGATTGTGGCGAGGTGTATGTTGGTCTCTTCTCCCAAGTAACTAGTGATAGGATGAGAGGAAATGGCCTCAAGTTGTGCCAGGGGAGGTTTAGACTAGGGATTAGGAAAAAATGTATTTTCGGAGAGAGTGGTCAAGCGTTGGAACAGGCTGCCCAGGGAGGTGGTGGAGTTGCCATAACTGGAAGCATTCAGAAAACTTGTGGATGTGGCACTTCAGGACATGGTTTAATGGTCATGGTGGTGTTGGGTTGATGGTTGGGCTTGATGATCTTAAAGGTCTTTTCCAACCTTAATGATTATGTGATTCTGTGATATTAGTGAATCTGTATTGCTGTAGAACAGAAGAACCTTATGCCAAGTGTTCTATGAACATGGAAAAGAGATATTTACAATCTGAATAAAAGGCGAGACTGAGAACTGGGAAAAATCAAATGGTGCTACTCAGTGTCACCAGCAATGGTATTGGTGTAATGACAGTTTAAGCATTGTCTTGCTTTTGTTGTTAGCAAAAAAACCAAATTTGGAGAACAGTGATGTCATTTTCCAGCTTGGCTGAGGGTGAAATTTTTGTGACCATCTTCAGCTGGTCTGGAGTTCTTCTGTTGCAGAATGGGATGTTCCCACCTGCTCATTCTTGCTGGCACTGATGTGTGTTATGCTGGGGAGTCAGCTGGATCAGCTGGCTGCTTTGTGTTCAGACAGGTTTTCCTGTAGGGTTAGTTTTCACCAAAGGCAGAGAGAGACATGATCCAGCTGACCTTGCAGTCTACCTGAGCACTAGTTGTTGTCAGAAGGGTGGTGAGACTCGGTGGGTGAGGAAGAAGCATGTGGATTCTCAAAGACTGGCTTAAGCCCATTGTGAAACTTCATCACAATTGATTGTCTCTTAGTGACTCTGTTTTTATCTAGGCGATGTGTTTATCTTGAGTTTCTTTCAAGTGTTAGTATGAATGACAGAAATGTGCCTGTGATTTGAGAGCAGTATGTGAAGAGCTGGAGCACAGATCATATTGTGAGCACTTCTGCTTATTCTTCACGTAAGTCTTTGTCTTGCATGTTCTTAGTGCCTTGTAAATTTTTGTCAGTCCTGCTTGTGTAATAAAAACATGCTGTAGCTCATCGTGGCACCCTTTGTTTTTGTTCAGATTGATTTGTACAATCAACTAAGATAGGGCTGCCTGTTCATCTGCTGTTCTGTGTGCAGGGGCAGCAGCAGAGGACATGAGAGAGTCTATGTGCTGCCTTGAAATGGCATTTCATAGACCTTCTTTTTAATCCTGTTGTATAAAGTCAATGCTCTCAGTTAAAGATGCATGGGAAGGGCACTTACATTTAATGAATTGGTAACTTTGGTTTTGTTTTTTTTTTCTCCCCCTAAACTGTTGTCTCTGAAAGGCAGGTCAAAAAATGGAAGTAGACTTGATGGAAGAGCCTGGCAAACTGTTCTGCTCTTAGTATTGTATATGAGGAGGATGGATTTTGCAGTTCAGGCTCTGTTCCTCAGATACTCAATTCCCTGCCACAGTCTTTACTTTTGGCAAATTGATTAATGAAGTTCCTTAGTTAATCAAGAAACTGCCCCACTTCATTAACTTGGTTGTAAGCAGTCTGAAAAGGGGACAGCCACATAGTAATTGTATGGGAGCCATTTGCCAAAATGACTTCTTGCCACTTCTGCAAAACAAAAGAAAAATAAGCATACAGCTAGTAATCTCATGGGGTGTGAAAAGTAGGGCCAGATCACAAAGATTTATGGTTATGACAACTGTAGTACCTAGCCACGCCTGTCTGCCTTGATCCTCGAATGATAGTACTGTTGCAAGCTGTACATCTGAATTGCTTTTGGGGGGGGGAGATGGATTTCTCTCTCTAATGTCATCCAGCCTGTTTCCTTGTTAGAACAAGGTTGTCCCACAGAGAATGCGATAGCTGAGTCTACTCCGTTCCTTACAGATGAAGTGTGGTCCTTGGACTTCAGGCAGATGGCCAAAGCAATCCTGGCTTGGCAAATCCTGGATGAAAAGTTATTTGGAATGCTAATGGCTGACATGCATATGTTTTACTAGCAGGAAGAACTGAATTATGTGCAAAGCTTAAAATCAAGGGACAGATATGCACGGCTCACTGTTTGGAGGTTGGTGGGGGTTTACAGTATCCAGGAAAAGTTTTTGTGGCTGGTTTTTAGTTACTCTATGAGTAGCTGGAAAAGAAGTTCTTATTCCTGCTTGAGATAAAAAAAGTATAGTTCAGCTATCAGGACTTTATCAAGACTCTTAGAGGCCAGGCTGCTTTGGAGTTATTTGCAGATGTACTTATTTCAAGAGTAGCGAAGGTACCAGTTTTCTTGGAAGTAGGCCAATTTCTGTTTTTTCTTCGGATTTATGTCATTGTATGTTGTGGTTTTGGCTGCACTTGTTTAAAAGCAGTCAGATATTTTGTACTTTTACTGTAGTGTCTTTAAAACTCTTAAAATGGTATTCAAATATTCTGTTGGGTGCCTATCTTGTTCCTTAACATTTCTCCCTTTTTGGCTTTAGAAATGTCTAACAACTGTTTGGCTTCTCTTGGCCTCTGTTTGCTTGATTTACTTCTTGGCAATCAATGGTGCGGCTTGCAAGTGTGAGCTGCTGGCTTTGTGTCCTGCCCCAGGTGATGTAAGAGTCTTAGTATATGCAGACAGTGCTTGCTGACTTTATTCTAGGGTGGTGGTGTTGTCCGAAAAGGTGGATTTGTTACCCGGTGTGCAATAAGCCAATTTCACACACGGAGATGAGAGATCGGTTTACTCCAAATCTACGCAGTTGGGTGCTGGGTGGTAGGCCCACAAAGCCAGCACACCTTGGTTAACACACGGAAAATATTTATACACTTCGAGCAACAGTTATCAGTATTTTTAAAAATTGGCTTGTTCCCATTGGCTCTCACAAGCCTCGTCTCCACTTAGTCACAGCGTCCTTCTTTTTTACTGCGCATGCTCAGTGAGGAAGAGGCTTTTGTGAATAGGGGGCTTTCCTGGCCCAGGGGCAGGTTTCTATTATGCCAATTATATGTTAATTAGATGTTAATAGGGATAGTTCACTCAAGGTTCAGTTTTAATCACACTTTTGTCTGACTATTCTAAACATAGTAATTAATCACACAGTTAGTTCACTCATGCTTTGGGATGTTCCCACCTTGAAGGACAAATTTGAGGCAAAATTGAGATTAGAAATTCCTTCATTATCCGGTCCTAACTCAAGGATGCCCAGCTTGTTCCCAGGCAAAGAACATACCTCAGCTATATCTACATCTATGTATATACAGATTAATGCTTTGTTGCCTTATAACAACAGGGCTTTGTCCCCTCCGTTATACCTGTTTGACTGTTAGTGCACCTGCACCCTGAACAACATCTGTGAAATGATCCAGCACAAGAGCCTCCCAAATGAAAGTGTGCTTTGGCAGGCGATGTAAACCTTCATTCTGGTTTAGATTGTAATGGTTGTATATGTTTGAACTGACATAACTCTGGGTATAATGATGTCTGTCTGAAGAGTTGTAAGGCTTTATAACTGAGTTTTCTGCCAAGGGGACAGTGACATAGAGCTCCAACTTATAGTCTTTTTGCAGGATGAGATATGTAGCTAGATATCTTTTTTTAGATGTTCACACTGGCAGTATATATTTAGTTACTATTTGCTGTGTATCACCAGAAAGTAAACTCCAATTATATACATATATAAAGTGTTAGTTTGTCAAAGCCAAAACTTCACGGTAAGTATCTTCTCTGGGAAGCAGGAGACTTGTGCTAAGGCCCCTGGGACTTACTGGCTGTTTTGAGGTGGGTCTCCTTCTCAATGTTGTACAGGGAAACTGGAACACAGTATTGTTTTGTCACAGTATTGAACAGGGAAAAGTTTTAGATTCGAGGGTTTTGTTAAATGGGAAACCTCCCATGACAAATTTCTCTCTTCTCTCTTCCATTGCTGTGAAAACCAAATGGGATGATTAAAATAAAACCCACTGTAATTAAGTTAGTTTAATTGTTTTAAGAAGGAATTTATGCATTTTTCAGCCATATTTGCAGCGTTTATGGATTCCAACTTTAAAAGAATGTCAGTTCAAAATAGGGAGGATATTTGACCATCTTGTTTTTCTTATCTGTTCGATAATGACTTACATCTGCTTCCCCCCCCCAGTTATTTGTAGTAGATGTCCAAACTGGTCAAATTACCAAGATTCCTATTCTGAAAGATCGTGAAGCCAGCATGGTCAACCAGCAGGGATGTGGTATTCATGCCATTGAGCTCAACCCCTCGAGGACCCTTCTGGCCACAGGTGGAGACAACCCCAACAGTCTTGCAATTTATCAACTGCCTACACTCGATCCTGTCTGTGTGGGAGATGTAAGTGGGAGTATTTGTGGAAAGTTTATTCTGTCACTTACAAGAATTACTACTTTGAAGTGTGTAAGGTCAGAGCAGGATTAAGATTTGGGAGTCTTGTAGTGGAGAGTGAATTTCTGAAAGCTTGAAAAATATTCCTGGTTAAGTTGTCTTTTTTGACAAGATATCTTAAATATGAGTGAGTACATAAATGTGAGATGATTCTCAGGGTTGAGAGTCATAGTTCTTCTTCCTCACCCTCATTCAGATGGGGTACTTCAGATTACTTTTAAGTACTGAAAATTTAACAATCGTCTTAACTGTTAAGGTCTAATTGTGGTGATGACCTCTGAAACTAGTTTTAGTGAAAAAGCTCTTTTGAGAAAATTAAAAGATGATACACGTTGTTCAAATTTTCCCTTTCTCCAGTGCAGTTTATGTATGTATTATTCCAGAACTTGGCTTTGAGGATTAGTTCTAACCCAGTGGCTTATGGCAGTTTGATAGGCTATGGTACTGCTTATATTTCTGAAATATCATGAGGCTTTTTTAAAATAACCAGTCTTAAAAAGAAAAAGGCTGAAACGAGTATAGTGGTGTCCTGTAAACAATTCTCTCTCATTTCTCCTTTTTGATTCGGGACTTCACATAGATGTTAACTACAACAGCAGAGGTCAGGTCAGAGTTTCTGCAGTGACAGATAATCATCTGCAGAAAGGCTTGACTGAAGATTTCTATGACTTGTTATTCATTTGCGTGCTGCTGTGACGCTGCAGCTTTTCAAACAGAACTAGAGCCTTATGGTCTTTTTTCTACACAGGTTTCTCGCCTGCTAAAGAGAAGATTCTTGAAGTAATAGTCTTGAAAAATTAATCTGTAGGTCATCTATTGTAAATGTAATGTTTTGTTTAATTTTTATAGTAGGGATGTCCATTTGAGGAAATAAAAGTATGTAGCTACTTTACAGAAGTAACAAACACTGCTTTAAAAATGGAAAATCTAAATCCTTAGAACTGAGATCAATTTGTCCTTTGTCAGAGACCTGTTTTTCCATCACCTAATTGCTCTCTGTTTAGTTATACACTTCAAAATTAAAAAAATTTAAAATTACTGTTGGGTACTTAAACTGCTCCAGCTTGATACTGGGATCTTATCTGTGTGTTTTTAATGTAAGTCTGTCCTTCTGAGTTTGTACTTTAAAAAAAAAAAAAAAAAAATCTCAGTGAAGAATACTTGTCTGCTTTAAGACCACTCTAGAATATAATGTCACAGAAAATCTATCTTCTTTCTTTTAGGATGGACATAAGGACTGGATATTTTCAATTGCATGGATCAGTGATACTATGGCTGTTTCTGGTAAAGTCAATATCTTCCCCACCCCCCTGAATTTTATACTGATGTACAGCACTTGATAGGTCTTAGGGAAGCACCTTTATCAAGGCATTTGAAACCACTTGGAACTATTTAAACCTATATTGCCTATTTAAACCATTCTTGGTCTTAGTACAGTGCTTTGCTTTGTTTTATTTGTAGGGCCCTGGACTAGATTTGATTTTTTTTTTTTTTTCTAGTATTAGAGGGAATACTACTGTGTCTAAACACAGTGAGTTAAAGCGAAGGATTCCACACAAGAAGAATTTCGAGAGGTGTTGGTTATCAGTTAAAAACTTTGGAATACAGCAGAGGAGTATTGGTTTCCTGAAATCCTATGAAAGACTGATTAATGAAAACTCAGTTTGTTTTATCAAGCTATCAGTAAAGTTGTGTGTGCGTGTATATATATGCATACATACTATGGCAGTTAATACAGAAGGCTGTAATAGGAAAGGTCAGTTACTGACTTTTTAGTAACTAGTTGGACAATCAGTGTAACTTCATAAAGTATTACTTGGGTAAAGGCAGCAATACTAATATGTTGTTGCATTAATGTAGTAGTTTATTGTTTTTCTGTGCTGACAGGGTATAGTATTCGGTACAGGGAAGTGTCAAACTGCAGGTGACAGAAAATCGTAACAATCTCAAATAAAAATCAAATACTTGAATTTTTAGTTCAGTAATTTTTTTTTTTTTTTTTCAAAAAACAAAAAGCTAATCCTGGAGTTTGATTTTGAATTTAATATAAAAGTTGATCCTTGCAACTCTCTAACTTAAATACCTGCATTAAAAAAAATTAAGTCACATTGTGTAGGGTTTTTAAGAAATTGAGGTATATGTCAAATCTGTCAGAGCTGAGTTGGATGGAAGTGAGTTGCCTAAACACCAGAAGGGATGGGTATAGGACCTTGGGTTAAGCCTGTGTTGATCTGTGAAACAAAGACATTCAGCTTTCTTCATCCGGTATTGTTACTCTTATTGATTAATATTTTGGATTAATATCTTCTAATTTAGTAGAAAAATAAAATGATTTCTTGCTTGTTTGGCCTCAGTTCCTGTGTTACATTCTTTAAAAAAGAGGTTGCATGGGTTTAAAAATAATTTAAAAAATAGATTTGATACAAATTGTGGTTTGAAATAGCTGTTTCTGTTCAGTTCACAAATGTGTGTACATATCCATAAGCATACTGGCAGAAATCAAAAGATCCAAAATTGGTGTAAACCCAACTGAGTTTTCTTGGAGGTTTTTGTATTGGCTTAACAGACTGTCAGTCTCAGCCTTGGTAAGCCAGGCTGAACATGTAGGCTATTCAGTCACCTCTGAGTTTATTCTACGTGTGAATCTCTAATGGTGATGATTGTGTTTTTTGATGCATCCTAATCAGTTTAAAAATAGATGAGGTGATCTAGCTGCTTGGAAACTATGTAGACAAACCAGTTGACAATGAGTTCACAAAGTTATGAACTTTACAGCTCAGCAAATTAATTATTTTGTTAATAATTAATATATAGGCGCCAACAGTGTGTTCAGTTAGATTAATTTAATAGTAATAGTATCCTTTCTTTCGGACCCTATTGTTTATTGCACATCCTTTTTGAAAAAGGGGATTTTATATATATGTTAAATGCTGTTATGGACTATTTATTCAGGTTCCCGGGATGGTTCGATGGGTCTCTGGGAAGTCACAGAAGATGTATTGTCCAATGCCAGGCATAATCTCTCTCAAGTTCCTGTCTATGCCCACATAACACACAGGGCCCTGAAGGATGTCCCCAAGGAGAACACCAGTCCCGACAACTGCAAAGTCCGAGCATTGGCTTTCAACAATAAGAACAAGGTCAGTAAGATAAGCAAGACAGTTGAGAAGTCTTAAAACTGTCCATATCTATTAGAAAAAGAAAAAAGTAATCTAAATCAAATATACCGGAGAAGCAACCTAATTTTTTTTCCCCTGATCCTTTTGCATCTTTCTCATATGAGAGACGGTTGTTTTTATCTGCCATGTCTGTTTCTGCCCCAAATGCTTGGAGAAGGCCAGTAGAAAAAAAAAAAAAAAAATCATATGTTTTCAGAAGGAACAGTTTTCCTGTGTGTTTGATTTTAAACTTGCACCCTAAGGGAATGTTTACAAGAAGCAGATAAGGCACCAAAACACCTCTTGCAACTTGAATCCCACTCTTGAGTGCTCTTCTGCTTTCCTTCACCTTTCATGAAGACCAGCTAACATTGAGTCAGTTGCTGATTTGATGGGTGAATCGTCACTGGATTGCTCGGCAAGTGAGGTGACTGACGCACAGGGCAGGCACCAATGCTTGCTTTGGTGTTATTTTGTTGGCATTTGACAAACAGTAAGTGTTAACCTCTCCCATGCTGACCTTGTTATTACTAGAGATGAATTGTACTGGGGCAAGTGGGAGTAGCAATTCATCCTCCGCTACTTTTCTTTCTGCCCTCAAAGAACAGAGAAGGTCTGAAGCAAAGGTGGGTGTGCTATCAGAAGCATGGTGTTCCTGCGGGCTTTATTTTTCACTACAGTTGTTAATTACTCCTCTATGATAGAGACTTCGTGTAGCTTTTTCAGTAGAGTAGTGCCTGGAAAGAAATGTTTACTTCAGGGTCAGAATCAGTGTGGGAGCTGCTGTAGAGAATTGACAACCCCAGCTTGTACTGTCTAATAATTCATTATTTGATTGTCTAAGATGATCTATACTTTTGAAAGCTATTTTTGGTTATTTACTGTTTTATTAATTCGTATTCTACCTGGCACCTTTGCGCTATATAGCATTCTATCAAGATCAATATAAAATGAAAATTTGTCTTGATAAGCAAGTACAGGATTATGGATGAGTTCAATCTGGAGTATGCAGCCTGCCTAGTAGAGAGTGTGAGTTTGTAAGGACATCTATAATACAGAAACTAACTCTCTTAAATTTTTTTTTTTTAATAATAGGAACTGGGAGCTGTGTCCCTAGATGGGTATTTTCATCTTTGGAAAGCAGAGCACACACTATCAAAGGTGCTTTTCTGTTTGTTGGTGTAAAATTTCAAAAATTGCCTAGCAGTTAAGGCTGTTTGCTATTCTTCATCTCTTTTAAATGCTTGAAGAAAGAGCAGCAGTGTTTGTAAAGCTTTTAAGTGTTCTATGTAAAATGAAATGTCCTGAAAATCAGAACTTGGGGAGAGAAACTTCCCACTCACCTTATTTTGGAGGGTGGGAGGTGCTTTTAACTTTCTGCCAGTTCTGGGTGAGCTGAAGTGAACCATTCCATTGAGTATGATGGATACCTGATTAGCAGTGTTCATAAAGGAACTTATTTAAGTGTAATTGCAGATCAAGCTCAGAAATATCTATGCTAGTGTATGAGGTAAGCTTTTTCAGCTGAGAGCTGATGTCTGTGTACACCTGCTGAAGAAATAACAGCAGCTTAGAAAGATGCAAAACAATTTACCAAAATGTCCATTGTTCTTTGCATAATACTTGGCTTCAGCCTTTATAATCTCAGTTTTCTTCAGATAAGGCAATCCAATCTCCTTCAGGTTTTTTCCTCTGGGTCAGGTTGTTGCTTTTCTCTTAAAGTTCTATTGTTGTGATGAACATATTTTTTTTTTCACTGCAACTTCCTTGAACATAGCTTAAAGAATTGTTATATTAATGTTTTGCTCTCTTCTCATAATGTGTTGATTTGTCTTTCCTCTGTTTCCAGTTACTTTCCACAAAGTTGCCATACTGCAGGGAGAATGTGTGTTTGGCTTATGGTCAGGAGTGGTCAGTATATGCAGTAGGATCACAGGCACATGTCTCCTTTCTGGATCCCAGGCAGCCTTCTCACAATGTTAAATCCGTCTGTTCCAAAGAACGAGGCAGTGGTAAGAAACTTGTCAAAGGGTGCTTTAAATGGTTTGCTTGCAGAAGTAGCTATTAAGACTGCAGTTAAGATAAGCTTTTAATAAATAGGAAGGGTTTTTCATGTGATAGACTAAATCATTAATAGTGTATATATAGGTTTTGCTTTTATGACAGTATTCCTTGAGCAACCAACAAACCAAATTTAAAAGCAACTCTGAAATTTAATGATATGCAACATTAGTGCTTTTATGATCAACTAAAGCGTACACCATCCAAATATTACTGGACTTTTAAAAGTGTGCATTTTACTTCTTATTTTTTGCTGTGTCTTATTCTGTTTTACTTAATCTTGGAACAAATCCAGTCTTCGTACTACCACTATTAATACTGTCTATTCTTGCATTTTTCTCTGGGAATGGAAAAAAAACATGCCTCTTCATACTGGGAGCCTGCTGTGAGCGAATGCTTGCTTGGTAATTTTAAAGTCATGAGTGAGACTCAATTTTCAATGTGTATTTATTTGCTTTAAATATACAAAAGCTCACTCTTTAAAAAAAAAAAGTTTGCAGATTTGAGTGCTGTTTTCCTTTTCTGATGTGGATGCAGTATGTCCAATTGAACATTACACCAGGGCCAAGCATGAGGGCTTGCAGGGTATATGGTCCCATAAGATTCTTCCTATACCCTTTATTTTCAAGCATGAGAAGGCACTGTGCTGTGGTGCTCATTTTAAACCATATTCATCCCAGACTAAGTTGCAGTCCTTACATAGCTTGGCTCTAGGCATCCATATCTTCATTGGGCAAGTTAATAAAAGAGAATGTATGTAGGCAAGGATTAAGACAGTTTTTTATTTATGTGGTTACTGGAGTTTGAACAGTGCTGTCTAGATAAATGTCAGGGTCTGCTTCTTTCAGATACGGGAGAAGTTTCTATAATATGAGAAAAGGTGCTTCACCAGCTCATGTTGTCACCTGAACATCTTACCAGCAACAGCCCTCGTGCTGACCCGCTGTCAGTGAGGGCTCTGTGGAGATCCTGACACTGTCACCCTTCAGTATCATAGGGGAGAAATACCAAAACGCTGGAGTGTGGTGCCCAGTGGTGACTGGTGACTGAAAGCTTCTGCCTTGAGTATGTGATCATCCCTGCTGGGGGGATGATCTATGTGTAGGTGTAGTATCTCTGTGGCACTAGTTCATGTCTGGAGAAAGTCTTTGTTTCAGTGCTGTTTTCTGTTCTGCATAGTAGGCAGACAGGTTTGGTTTTTTTTTTTTGCATGGTGGTGGAGGCACTTAAGTAATATTAATTCCCAAGATACTGAGTGTTTCAACTTTCTATTCATCTCACTGGGACTTGGAGCAGTGCAGCATCTCTAGAAAGTAGGCTGTTTATTGATTTGTGGACTAAATCTGGTTTGACTTTTTTAAGTGCTTTGAAGTGTTACCTGAATGTGCTTTCAGCTTCCAAATGCACCTGTTGAATGTGGTAAGTCCACATTAACTTCAGATCATCAGTGCTGGATACAAAAGCAGGTCAGAGAAAGGTTGTCACTTAGTAAGACTGGAACTGGGGCTGTGTTTTACCCAGTGTAACCCTGTCTGCCCTACATGAGAAGGTAGCTAATGCTTTTTACTGCATCTTGTAAGTGTTGCTTTTCTTAGCAGCTGTACAGGGAAGTGCAGGCCCTGGACTCTAGTTCTTGATCTGCAAGAGCAACTG